TTCACCTCCCCTCTGTCTCCCTCCCTAAATGCCCTCTTATTCGCATTTAGGATGGCCTTGATGTCCTTTGTTACCCATGGCTTGTTGTTGGTATAACAAAGGATAGTGCTTGATGGTACAGTGCAGTCAACACAGAAATTAATATAATCAGTGATGCACTCTGTGAGTCCATCAATATCCTCTACGTGTGGCTCATAGAGAGCCTGCCAGTCAGTAACCTCAAAACAAGCCTGAAGTGCCTCATAAGCCTCATCCGTCCAATTCTTCACACTTCTGGTGGTCACAGGCTTACTCGTAACCAGAGGCATATAACAGGGGTTGAGGTACACCAAATTGTGGTCTGACCTACCCAGTGCAGGGAGGGGGGACGAACCGTATGCATTCTTCACGTTTGCATACATTAAATCAAGTGTACTCTCTTCTCTGGTCGGACAGAGTGCATACTGTGTGAAAGTTGGCAATGTTTTTTCCATAGTAACGTGATTGAAGTCACCCGAAATGGTGATGAGAGCATTCGGATATCTGGTCTGCAATTGTGATGTAACATTATGAATAACGCTGCTCACTGACTTCGGGTTAGCTGAGGGTGGAATATATACAGCTACTACAATGGCATGTGAAATCTCTCTGGGCAGATAATAAGGCCGAAGCCCCACGGCTAATAGTTCAATGTCCGGGCAACATATCCGCTCCCTAAACGTAATATGACAAGGGTTGCACTATCTGTTATTAACTAGAACGGCAAGCCTTTTCTCTTACCCCTCTCGTTGCAATCCCAGTTGGCCCGAACCGTCTGAAAGCCCTCGACGGAGACGTTCTGATCCGGAATGTCCTGATGTAACAATGTCTCCGTGAAGCACATGATACTACATTCCCGGTACTCCGCCTGGCTTCTGACTAGCCCCATCAGCTCCTCCATCTTATTAGCCAGCGATCTCACATTGCCCATAATAAGAGAGGGTAGACTCGGCTTGAATCTCCTCTTCTCCTTAAGTCTCTCCCGTCTCAGTCCAGCTCTCTTCCCCCCCTTGTCTTGTTCCTCCCCTACATCCGCTATGAGTTTTCCTCCAGATTTCAATAGGTAAATCAGCTGATCGAATCGCTAAGCTGGCCGGCTTCAGATCGATCAGCTGATCTCGGGAGTAAACAGCAGTGTATCCAACAGGTGTTGAACGCAGTAACTCCGGTACGAAGAAAGTTATTAAAAAGGTTGTTAAAACTTTCCCCACCAGCATCCTTGAAAGGGCACAACTTCAAAGAGCTCACAAAAAAATACAATAAGAAAAAAACGCATTAATAAAGTTAATAGAACAGAAATGTTAAAAAAACACACACAAGAACAGCGGCAACCAGAGCATGTGAGCGGAGCGGTGTGACTTTTTCCGCTCTATGGACGTGCGCTCCACTCAGTCGCTCTAACCGCCCAAGCAAGCGCTCCGTTAATATTCCGCTCACGCTCCTTAACTTTGATTTTTACTTTACATTTATGTATAAGGCTTGCAACTTCGTTGAAACAATATCTGAACTCCATAACTGCTCTACTATTCTCGATCTCTACAGATTCTCGATCTCGAACAAGCAAATCACCAAATGGCATTCTGGGTTGAGCGAGCGGAGCGGAATCTTCAGAAAGGCGCTCTGTGCTCTTAAGGAAATATTACCACTCCGCTCCGCTCACATGCTCTGGCGGCAACAGGCTGCATGCACGATCTCGCATGCGCTCTGAAATGGATTGCTTTTCTTTCTTTTCCTCAGATATGCAAAAAGAAACAATTTCTTTTGTTTGGTATGAAATATCCTATATTTACATTTTTGATTCTTTGCTTTTTTTGTTGTTATGGGAGTGCAGTTTGAAAGAATTGAATATAGAATGGTCTATATTATAGCAGCATTAACAGCATGACATTGTATTTGTCATTTGTAAGTCTCTTTGGATAAAAGCCTCTGCTAAATGATTAAATGTGAAAATAATACAATTTAAATGTTTTTTTTTTGTAGAATACATGTCAATATTTCCTGTTGTAGGTCGACGCTTGGTGTTCACAAACGCAGCAAAGGATTGTGGGATATTATCAAGCCAATGCTTGTGTTTCAGACAGCAGGTACTCCATATTTTTTCATCTTACCAGAGTTCCTTATTTTCTCTGCATTTTACTTCTCTCTTACTCTTTTTTTTTTTTTCTTTTTCTTTTTTCAGCCCTACACCTTGTGCGTTGAAGATTGCAGAGAAGATATTCGAGCAGTGTAACAATACTGTTTTGCTTATGGTAATTTAGAAAATGTCTCTTGGTGCAAAAGTTTATTGGAAAAGTCCTTTTTTTTTAATGGGAACATTTTTTTCCCTCTGCCTCAGATTGATGGAGAAAAGATGTTTCCAAGCTGCCGTGTTCCTCCGATCGTGATGTATGAGCGTAAAGACGCCCGCTGGGCTCTCAAAGACAAACACGCGTAAGAAAAATCTCAAAAAATGTGTTGATGATAACGCTGCAGTGCAGTTAATGACATGTGTATTCCTTAGAATAATGCTTCGACAGTGGGAAGAAACCTGTTCCATAGTTAATCAGCTGTTCAGCTCTGGTGATCAGACGCTATTGGTGGACTTTGACAGCCATTTGGATGACATCACAAAAGATTGGACCAATCAGAAACTCAATGCCAAGATCATGGAGCTGATCTCCCCAGCCAATGGAAATGTTTAACTGTATATAGACTAAATCTTCTCACGTCATAGTTTTCTTCCCCTCTAATTGTGTTTTTAAGATTATTTGACTCATTATTTTATTTTGACACATTTATATGATATAAATGATGTCCTCAGATATGCAAAAAGAAACATTTTCTTTTGTTTGGTATGATTTGGTGCTTTGACCCTAAAAATAAACTTACATTGACGTGGACTCGTAATACAAGCAGCATATTTTTTATTACTTTGATCGCCTGTTATATTTTAATAATTTAACAGTAAGCTATTAATTGATTTGCTTTATAAGTTCTATCTATCCGTCTAAACATTAAAGTAATCTGTAAGAAAACTATGTATGGTTCCTCAGGTGCTGTCATTACATGGGGTTCTCCATTTTACAGACTTGATACGAAAAAAAAATGTGAAGAAAAGAGATTTTATTTTATATTGTCATGAAGTAGTCTAATATTTAGCTTTAACTATATGAGGGTTAGAAGTCTCTAATAATTTAGATGATTCCTTCCAGCAAACTGAGAGCAAATCAGTGCTCAGAGTAGTGTGAGTGTATGATTCATGTGAGGTGTGTCCCACAAGATGTGGATCTTCAGGTCTGTCTGGAGCTTGTATTTGTTCTGATGCCTTTTTCTCCACTGCAGCACTGCTGACGTTTGCATTTCCTAACCTGTATGACTGACTTTCTTCTGTGGAACATAAAAGTAACATAAAGGAACACAAAAGTAAATATTTAGAAAAAATTCTCAGTGATTTTTTTTTGGTCCATGCAATGAAAGTCCACTGGCAATGACATGGTTTGGTTAATAGCATTCTTTAAATTACATTCCTTTTTTTCTTTTTTCCCCAATCTATTTCACGACCCTTTGTGTGGCATCCCCTTCTCACAGTTAAAAAAAAATTTGCTCTTTGAGTTACAAGTTGGGTTGATTCAAGTAAAATCAAAGTTTTGTTTTGGAACCGATAGCCTCAAGTAAGTTTAGTTTAATCAAATCGCAGTTCAATCATTTCAGTGTTACTGTCACAATAAATTAAGCCTGCTTTCTGGAGTACCCACCAGAGGGGGCATTAAATCACAAACATTATGACATTATTAAGGCCCTATAGGTGCAGTTCTGACGCAACTTGGAGTGTGTCCTCAGAATGTCCTGTGGTCTATGTATGTCAAGTTTTGTTAAGTTTGTACATTGAAGTCAGGAGATTCAAGTCAATTTACATTGCTTTGACAAATCAACTTTTTGATAACTTGTTGCCAGTATTGTCGCTTGCTGCTATGCATGCAATTTGGTGAAGATCAGATCAAGGGCCTAGGAGGAGTTTGAAAAAGTGGGTTTTTCAGTAAATTAAAAATGGCTGAATAATTTTATAGACAGAAGTGTCATCGGAGGTATACTGGTAAAGTATTTGGTAGGGCTTGACTCAAGGATTCAGGGGAAAAACAATTTGTTTATAATCTTTAGGGTTCCAGAGTTATGAACATAAACTGCCTAGAGCGCAGTAGTGATTAAGTATTTTTTTTGTAGGGCAACCTGGAAGTTGCCATCACCCTAATTCCTTGATAAAAACCCAATCGGATGCTTCCATGGGCTGTTGGATTATTGCATAAAATTAGTTTTTGTGGCCAGCAAAAGTTCATGATTCTTGTATGTTTTGTTCATCATGATAATCTTCACATATTTACACAACTTTTACGAATTTTGACATCTAAATACAATTGGCTATAAATAAAATTATTTAAAAAAAGTTTACCTTTTGAGTTAGAATAGTTTGCAAGTGCACAATTATAAACACCATAAAGCAGTAAAAGCGGACTAGTTAGTAGATAAGTCTTTTCCCGTTTGGTATGATGACGTTTAATGTCCCAACTACCTTTAGTCCCATTTAACCACTCGTTATCAATTGCCTTTTTGCATGACACATGAAAGAATAAATCATAACTGGGTTATTCATATATTTTATGCCATAGATTAAAACTTTATAATATCTTGAACTTGTGTTAACCAAAGATCTTATTTCAACCATTTAGCCAAAAATTAAATAAAAATGAAACAATCACAAAAAAAATCCACTGACTTCAGAACTATGAAGCTGGAAGTGCTGAAATACTTGTTTCCAGGTTTTGGCCTGGAATCTTTGCAGGTCTCTATAGCGCCACCTACTGTCACACAGATGTGTTTCTGTGAGCCTGCGCAGATGCATACGATTGTGACCATCCTGCCATGTTACACCCCTGATACCTGCATGGTAATTGTGTTTGCATGACTACTGGTGACAAAATTCTTAAACAAGTAGCCTCAAACTCATTTTTCGTGGATAGAATCCAAGAAAAGTGAAGTTCTTGGTATCTCTCATTACGACAACCAACAGCCAACAACAGAGAGCAAGGCAAGTGATGACATGATTTATTGCCATTGATTAATTTATTTTTAAAACAAGTTCTTGGTATCTCTCATTACGACAACCAACAGCCAACAACAGAGAGCAAGGCAAGTGATGACATGATTTATTGCCATTAATTTATTTTTAAAACGTGATAAATTCAGTGAAACATTAGCGTTGGATGAAAATGTACAGGGTAATTTAACAATCCACTTGTAGTTAACCATGAACATCGTTATTAATACATTTAATGATTTTGAACATCTTTACTCAGACTCCACTACGGCAGATGATATATGCATAGTGGTAAAAAATGACACAACATATTTTGTGTTCTTACACATTTGGCTGTGAAACAAACAAAGCTATACTGACTAAAGACGTTTTATATTACTTATAAATATGTGGATTTAACTACTAGATGGCTACATATTTGAAGCATTTGAAGCAACTAATAATTACAATATTTATTTCCACTACCTACAGAAAGTGTTTATACAAGTTGTCTCAAGTCATGCCATATATAGTTGTTTTTCTTCATTTTGACCCTTAATGTCAAGAATGCAGTAAGTGTTTTCTTAGAGGTTTGTTACTGCTGCAATACTTCAACAATGTTTAGCGTCACTTCCCCTGTAGGAGACTGGCTGGCCAAACTTTTGAGAAATGCAATAGAGTTTCTGAGGGTCTTGACCTCTTCTATCTGCGACTCAACCCAGGGGATAGAGATCTGGAGAAAAAAAAGAAAATTATAATAGTTCACCCAAAAACAATAATTCTCGTGGAAATGTAAATGTTTTCTGTCTGCCGTATCTCAAAAACTCTTATTCGTGCTTCTGCTCGATTCAAAACATTCAAATATATTGCAACACAAAAGGTCTCAATCTGCAAGATCCAAGTGTCAAGGTGGCAAGTTTTCTTATTTACTAGTGTGAATAAGATGATATCTTCATATGATTCAAACTCTTTTGTTGTTATAACTCTTTTTTTTATTGTTTGTTATACCTGTATTTTCAATTTTGAACTTGCGTTGTGTTTTAGGGTTAACAGAAATGTCTATAAAATGTTCTGGCAGAAAATTGCAAGTACATTTTCCATTATTTTGTGTGATTTGATGATTCAAATCTGCTGTCATACTTGCAGCTGCTTTTATTTATTTTTTGCAAATAACTTTCATGGTCTCACAGAAGCAGCCTGGACATTATGCAAAACATCTTTTGTGTTTGAAACGACATAAGAATGAAAAATGGCTGAATTAACCTTTCACAGCTGCTAAAGTAGCAATGGTTACATCCACTTATAGCACAAATGTAGCATAGCATTTGATCCATATACAAAATTGATTGCTGCATTGACATCAGGTCTGTACCTTAATGATGATGTGTTTATCATCGATGTTATCTCCATCATACAGCTCTTCTCCAAAACACAGCGTGATCTCACTTTGAGGTTGTTTTCCTCCACTGCGGAAAGCGTCCAACTCTGAAAGGAACAAATTAACGCTGTCATCAATTAAAAAAAAGGGAATCAGAGGAGGTGTGAAGATCATTTAGTAAACTTTAAAACTGTTTGTCGTTCCTTGCCACAGTCACCACTGGCATGCTCACTGGGGGGCTAAAAGACGAACGCATAATTGGAATAACTTTCTAGAAGAAAGGTGAGCAGTATGACCAAAATCTTGTGCCATGAGATGGGTCATCTTCTATCATGGTAAGGGAAGAAATCAAATGATTCTGCTAACTTCAATATGTATCAATCACTATTCTCACCTTTTTTTGTAACAATTTCCACACTGATGCAAACACATAATTGTACCAAAACAAACTCAACAGCAATTCAGACATGCAAACTGCTAAAAAAGGTTTAAACTATGAAAAAACTAATTTCAATAAAATCTGTTGTGAACCCAAACCCTTCATTAAATGTAGGATTAGTGGTTGACTGATGCAGGTTTTTGATGTCCGAGATGTGACTGATGGCTGACATAAAGCCAATATATATGATATTACACTATAATGTAGATAGCAAAATCATATCCAAAAAAAAACAAAACATATCCATAGTTGCTGAAATTAAATTAATATTTATTTTACATTAAGATTTACTAAATTAAAAATAAATCATTACAATTTATTATATAAAAAAATCATTTGAACTTAAAAAATGAAACCTGCAAAATAAACAGATTTATACTTTAGATGGCAACTTCTTGAGTCTGTATTCTTACTACTATAGTACTTTTTAACACATAAAGAAATTGTTAAAAATATGAATACAAAGGAATTTATCACTGTAATCAATAGTGCACCCAGACAGCATCCAATTCACATGGACTGACCGTTACACACACCGTACACACATTTTTATACAATCTACAAATGTAGACTTCAGAGCATCTCGCAGCTGGATTTGCCGAAGTTTGCAAGGTTTGTGCAATTAAATGTTTAGTAGATATTCAAAGACTTGTTTAAATGATAGAAATGCATATTTGCTGAATGCTGACTGTAGATAATTATGTATTGCAGCGTTTGCCTTTCTATTAATAATAATAATAATAGAAGTATAATAGCAAATTCCATTATGCTTTTTGTATACAGTTTACTTTTTTTGTTTAACAGTTCTGTGTAATAATTTATTAGGTGATTAACTGTTAAACAGTGACAGTAAAGTAATGAAGATGGAGAATGGGTGCATTCTCAGCATTGTCAAAATAAAAGTCCCACTTCTGGCACAATGGCCAAACAGAAAAATGCATCGGTCGATGATGATAATTAAAAAATGCAGATATATCGGTCAACCACTATTTAGGACCTATTATTACATTTGTGCCCTCAATTATAGCACAGCTAAATCCTTCATTAAGGATTTACCATCCAGCCTTATTAGCTAAAATCATATGGATTCAACAAGTTTCTAGATATTTCTGGTATTTTGTTACTAATGCATTTTAAATGAACATTTAAGCCAAAGAACTATAAGGAGCGTAGAAATTTGAATAACCAGTTTTATTTATTCAGTGCACAAAATATGCTTGTGAAACACTTACCCTGTTTGAATATATCCTTGCTGAACAGCTGGGTGGGCTCGCTTGCTCTCTCCATTTTACAGGGTCCTGTGGTGGTGTTATGTGGTCCTCTCCAGAACACCCGTCCCAGACAGAAGCGCTTGGCATAGATGCCTCCTCCTGTCGAGGTCAGGACTATTCCACTCTCCATGAAGGGCAGCAATTTGTTAAGAGCGGTCAAACGTGGGGCGAGGCTGGGGTCGGAGCTCAAGTCTGACGGGGGGTCTGGGAGAGGGATTCGATGGAAGCTAGTGCCGTTTAGAGACAGTGGAGACGGAGGGACAGGTGAGGGAGGCAGGTAAGCGATCCGAACATCGTTACCCATTATTTCTCGCCGCAGAACCTCCTGACCAATGTAGTGCACGGTTATGTGGAAAGAATGCAGCACTGAAAGTACAAGAACAATAGTTTTAAGAAACCGTTTGGCAAGAGTTTGGAGAAATTCGATTTTTTTCTAATCAATTAATAAAATGTTATTTTTAATCATCACCTCTCTTCTCGACAGCTTCAATGGTGAAGTTTACATGGATATCTTCAGTGTCTCAAGAAAGAGAAGAACGATAATAAATCATTCACCCACATTGCATTATCAGCATTAAACACAAAAGAGCCATGCAAGTTGCACATCAGGGTAAAATTCATAGAGTAAAACTAGATCATTACTGTTGTCAGTCTTCAAGGGGTTTGTCTCCAGCTCTGCTTGGAGTGTGATTTCTCTTCCTGTGTGTGGGATGATTTCCTGTGCACTCTGTAAAAATAGTGCCCAATTAATTGTAGACTCATACAGTGCTTTACACTGCAAAACCAAGCTGTGGAATGCAAATGTCTCTTAATGCATGTTCTTGACTCAGTGTTTACATAATGCTTTTGTAACACAGGCTTTCACTATTTACTTGAAACGACATAAGAATGAAAAATGGCTGAATTAACCTTTCACAGCTGCTAAAGTAGCAATGGTTACATCCACTTATAGCACAAATGTAGCATAGCATTTGATCCATATACAAAATTGATTGCTGCATTCAGACATCAGGTCTGTACCTTAATGATGATGTGTTTATCATCGATGTTATCTCCATCATACAGCTCTTCTCCAAAACACAGCGTGATCTCACTTTGAGGTTGTTTTCCTCCACTGCGGAAAGCGTCCAACTCTGAAAGGAACAAATTAACGCTGTCATCAATTAAAAAAAAGGGAATCAGAGGAGGTGTGAAGATCATTTAGTAAACTTTAAAACTGTTTGTCGTTCCTTGCCACAGTCACCACTGGCATGCTCACTGGGGGGCTAAAAGACGAACGCATAATTGGAATAACTTTCTAGAAGAAAGGTGAGCAGTATGACCAAAATCTTGTGCCATGAGATGGGTCATCTTCTATCATGGTAAGGGAAGAAATCAAATGATTCTGCTAACTTCAATATGTATCAATCACTATTCTCACCTTTTTTTGTAACAATTTCCACACTGATGCAAACACATAATTGTACCAAAACAAACTCAACAGCAATTCAGACATGCAAACTGCTAAAAAAGGTTTAAACTATGAAAAAACTAATTTCAATAAAATCTGTTGTGAACCCAAACCCTTCATTAAATGTAGGATTAGTGGTTGACTGATGCAGGTTTTTGATGTCCGAGATGTGACTGATGGCTGACATAAAGCCAATATATATGATATTACACTATAATGTAGATAGCAAAATCATATCCAAAAAAAAACAAAACATATCCATAGTTGCTGAAATTAAATTAATATTTATTTTACATTAAGATTTACTAAATTAAAAATAAATCATTACAATTTATTATATAAAAAAATCATTTGAACTTAAAAAATGAAACCTGCAAAATAAACAGATTTATACTTTAGATGGCAACTTCTTGAGTCTGTATTCTTACTACTATAGTACTTTTTAACACATAAAGAAATTGTTAAAAATATGAATACAAAGGAATTTATCACTGTAATCAATAGTGCACCCAGACAGCATCCAATTCACATGGACTGACCGTTACACACACCGTACACACATTTTTATACAATCTACAAATGTAGACTTCAGAGCATCTCGCAGCTGGATTTGCCGAAGTTTGCAAGGTTTGTGCAATTAAATGTTTAGTAGATATTCAAAGACTTGTTTAAATGATAGAAATGCATATTTGCTGAATGCTGACTGTAGATAATTATGTATTGCAGCGTTTGCCTTTCTATTAATAATAATAATAATAGAAGTATAATAGCAAATTCCATTATGCTTTTTGTATACAGTTTACTTTTTTTGTTTAACAGTTCTGTGTAATAATTTATTAGGTGATTAACTGTTAAACAGTGACAGTAAAGTAATGAAGATGGAGAATGGGTGCATTCTCAGCATTGTCAAAATAAAAGTCCCACTTCTGGCACAATGGCCAAACAGAAAAATGCATCGGTCGATGATGATAATTAAAAAATGCAGATATATCGGTCAACCACTATTTAGGACCTATTATGACATTTGTGCCCTCAATTATAGCACAGCTAAATCCTTCATTAAGGATTTACCATCCAGCCTTATTAGCTAAAATCATATGGATTCAACAAGTTTCTAGATATTTCTGGTATTTTGTTACTAATGCATTTTAAATGAACATTTAAGCCAAAGAACTATAAGGAGCGTAGAAATTTGAATAACCAGTTTTATTTATTCAGTGCACAAAATATGCTTGTGAAACACTTACCCTGTTTGAATATATCCTTGCTGAACAGCTGGGTGGGCTCGCTTGCTCTCTCCATTTTACAGGGTCCTGTGGTGGTGTTATGTGGTCCTCTCCAGAACACCCGTCCCAGACAGAAGCGCTTGGCATAGATGCCTCCTCCTGTCGAGGTCAGGACTATTCCACTCTCCATGAAGGGCAGCAATTTGTTAAGAGCGGTCAAACGTGGGGCGAGGCTGGGGTCGGAGCTCAAGTCTGACGGGGGGTCTGGGAGAGGGATTCGATGGAAGCCAGCACCGTTTAGAGATGGTGGAGATGGAGGGACAGGTGAGGGAGGCAGGTAAGCGATCCGAACATCGTTACCCATTATTTCTCGCCGCAGAACCTCCTGACCAATGTAGTGCACGGTTATGTGGAAAGAATGCAGCACTGAAAGTACAAGAACAATAGTTTTAAGAAACCGTTTGGCAAGAGTTTGGAGAAATTCGATTTTTTTCTAATCAATTAATAAAATGTTATTTTTAATCATCACCTCTCTTCTCGACAGCTTCAATGGTGAAGTTTACATGGATATCTTCAGTGTCTCAAGAAAGAGAAGAACGATAATAAATCATTCACCCACATTGCATTATCAGCATTAAACACAAAAGAGCCATGCAAGTTGCACATCAGGGTAAAATTCATAGAGTAAAACTAGATCATTACTGTTGTCAGTCTTCAAGGGGTTTGTCTCCAGCTCTGCTTGGAGTGTGATTTCTCTTCCTGTGTGTGGGATGATTTCCTGTGCACTCTGTAAAAATAGTGCCCAATTAATTGTAGACTCATACAGTGCTTTACACTGCAAAACCAAGCTGTGGAATGCAAATGTCTCTTAATGCATGTTCTTGACTCAGTGTTTACATAATGCTTTTGTAACACAGGCTTTCACTATTTACATGCATGCTGCAATTTAATTAAAGTATGAACAGCATAGCTCCTCAATGATTAGTTATGATGTGCTGGATGTTTTTACCATGTTGATGGACTGGGGCAAAATAACCTCCTCTTTGATTAATATTTTGCATGTAGTCTGCTCCTCATCTTGCTCGGATTCACTGCGTCTCTTTCTGCTGCTCCTCACTGGCTTTTGTCCATTCTCGTTTTTCACTTTCCCCACTCCTATGGTGAGAGAAAACCGGACTAAATAATTACAAAAAGTAATTCCTTTACATATTCATTGCAGTTATTACAGACATTTTGCTGGTAATAAAAGTTGCTTTCATCATTTTCATAATCAGTCAGGTGTGTTTGTTTAAGAATACTATTTCTGCATTCGATCAATCAATCAATCAATCAATAAAAATAGTTATTATTACTGCTTTAGGGAGCGACTTAAAGAATGTAAAGAACAAACAACAGATTCCAGAAAGAACACCTTACAAACAAACTAGCTAGCCAACCTCACTATATTTGACTAGTCAATTAGTCAGTTATTTTTACACATCTCTAGTAATAGTCATGTTGGATTGACTGTATCAGGGTTGCCAACTTTGGTTGCCAGGCTGGATTTTGATGACATGGACTGAATCGGACAGTTTTTTTAAGGGTTCTGATGATCCAAAATGATAATTTTTACTCTTATTGTTTTAGTAGCTTTTCTTCAAGCTTTGAGTTTCCAGCATTAAAAAAAAACAGTCTAATAAATTACTTCCTGTTTTTCTTAAATTATTGATTTTATCATTTTAATTTTGTGCACACTCTGAAGGGGAAAACCCAGTATGAGGGGGTTTTTTTCTATGCAAAGTACAAATTGTGTAAACTGCTTAAAGATCGAAGATTTGAGATAAGACTGCTCGTGTAACAATTCCTCCTATGACCGTGTAGACCACTGAGAGGGACTAAAAAGCAATTGCTACTTGAAGAATATGAGTGATTTAAATCCTACAGGGTATCTCTATTATGACAAACTCTTCTGTGAAATGTAAATATTTATATAAGAGTAATGTAATTTATGCGCTGAGGAAAGAATCTCTCAAGCGTATGAAACAGCACAAGAACTGTTTTGGGTACCTGATGCAGAAATCAGCCCAAATTAAACCTATTTGATGTTCAAGACAACTTGGATTATGTACAATCTCAATGTGATTTGCTCGGTGGCCTCTTGTCATTTTTTTCAAATGTGTCTTTTATCATACTAACACGTTTTTTCACTACTGTAAGTGACATTACTGAGGTTTTTCATGCCACAGTGCACATATTCAACAAATCAAAAAATACTCATCCACCATAGTGGCCTGTAACATTGTGAAATTTACAGACCAAACAGAACATGCAACCTGTATTTGGTGACACCTGGACAGCTAGCTCTTTAATGGTCACCTTGTGAAGAGTGGGAAAAAGTTTCATTGGTGGAATATAGCTACTTTAGACCAGAATATCTGTTGTAGACCAATCAAGCCACATGCTAGTGGGAAAAATGCTATGAGCAAAGTTAGGTATTTATTTTGTGTCATTTTGTTAATTGTCAAGACATTTAGAGCCTGAAGAGGCGTGAGAAAGAGCCTGAAAGTGTGACTCATGCCAAATGCATGGAAGTTGGCAACCTTGCTAATATCCATATATTTTTCACATCCCTTGGTTACCTTGTTCTTCTAGTGGTACGAGGCGGTAAACCTTGTAGGGTTCTGAGATGTCCAGCTGTGACCTTTCAGTGACCTCACAAAACTCTGTACTTTTGTTGAGGGCACAGCGAAGGCGAGTTTTCCAGGACGCAGGGTCTGAATTTCCATTCTCCAAAAGCTTCCCTTTAAACTCTGCCCAAGCCTTAAATGAAAAAATTCAAATGAAAATTTGAATCAACCATTTTAAAATGGATTGCATGCTTAAAATAAGTAAATTACAGATGAAACTCCTTTTCTTATTCATTCTGACCATAAATGTGTAAATTATTTATCATCAACAAAAGTCTAGAAATCATCGCTTGAGTTTGCAGATGACTGCACTAATTGTTGAGTGCATTACGTAACACTCGCACTTGGGAAGTTGTTCATTGTGTAAAAAAACTAAGAAACAAGGACACAGAGAGAAAGATGGTGACACATTTGGACCTTGAAAATAGCTGCATCCTCCTCAGTTCGGAAATCTTGTTTTCCTGCATGTTTCCATGGGATACGAAACATGGTTTTCTCAGGGTTGTCCCACACTAGGCCATGATACTTCCCACTGTTCACCTACATCCCAAAGCACACAATAGAGAAACAAACCAAAAGATATCAGCAACAAACAAAAGCATACCATGAAGCACTAGAGATTGTTATAAGATGAAACATTTGAAAGAGAGCAAACTGCAGCAGAAAAAGTGAATTTCTAAAAACATGAGAGGTTTACAAGAAAAACTGGTCACCTCAATCATCCACTCATGGAATGTTCAGACTTCATGGAGTCAACTTAAGGGTTTAGAAAAATGTTGGACAGGGGAGTGCATCTAGTACAACATTAATCCATAAAGGATGCATATCTCCAACACGGAGAGAGCGTAATCTACCTCCTTCAGTTTAAGAAAGTCTTTGTGCCTGTGGCTAAACTACTCTCTGGTTGGCACACGTCCTGATTTTGCTGAGTTAGATGTGTTCCTAGGTCAACATATTAATCCAAAAATTTAGTCTTGACCATATCCCTACACCTAAACCTAACCTTAACCATGAGTAATCGCTAAAATCAGAGGAAATGATAGATGAATGACACTGATGTATAAGCACCAAACACTGATTGCAAACCTAAACTGGTTCTTCAAATCTGATTGGTTAATCACGATGTTGTTCCAGGGTCAACAAAGATGTTGATCCAGGAACGTCGCACTTGGTAAAATCAGGTTCTGCTGGCTAGGTAGGCAGATTTGGAGCCAGTGGATCTCATAGCATGAATGGCTCTTCCATCTGATCTTCTGTATCATAAATTCTCCATAAATTCAAAAACTCTGTACTTTTGTTGAGGGCACAGCGAAGGCGAGTTTTCCAGGACGCAGGGTCTGAATTTCCATTCTCCAAAAGCTTCCCTTTAAACTCTGCCCAAGCCTTAAATGAAAAAATTCAAATGAAAATTTGAATCAACCATTTTAAAATGGATTGCATGCTTAAAATAAGTAAATTACAGATGAAACTCCTTTTCTTATTCATTCTGACCATAAATGTGTAAATTATTTATCATCAACAAAAGTCTAGAAATCATCGCTTGAGTTTGCAGATGACTGCACTAATTGTTGAGTGCATTACGTAACACTCGCACTTGGGAAGTTGTTCATTGTGTAAAAAAACTAAGAAACAAGGACACAGAGAGAAAGATGGTGACACATTTGGACCTTGAAAATAGCTGCATCCTCCTCAGTTCGGAAATCTTGTTTTCCTGCATGTTTCCATGGGATACGAAACATGGTTTTCTCAGGGTTGTCCCACACTAGGCCATGATACTTCCCACTGTTCACCTACATCCCAAAGCACACAATAGAGAAACAAACCAAAAGATATCAGCAACAAACAAAAGCATACCATGAAGCACTAGAGATTGTTATAAGATGAAACATTTGAAAGAGAGCAAACTGCAGCAGAAAAAGTGAATTTCTAAAAACATGAGAGGTTTACAAGAAAAACTGGTCACCTCAATCATCCACTCATGGAATGTTCAGACTTCATGGAGTCAACTTAAGGGTTTAGAAAAATGTTGGACAGGGGAGTGCATCTAGTACAACATTAATCCATAAAGGATGCATATCTCCAACACGGAGAGAGCGTAATCTACCTCCTTCAGTTTAAGAAAGTCTTTGTGCCTGTGGCTAAACTACTCTCTGGTTGGCACACGTCCTGATTTTGCTGAGTTAGATGTGTTCCTAGGTCAACATATTAATCCAAAAATTTAGTCTTGACCATATCCCTACACCTAAACCTAACCTTAACCATGAGTAATCGCTAAAATCAGAGGAAATGATAGATGAATGACACTGATGTATAAGCACCAAACACTGATTGCAAACCTAAACTGGTTCTTCAAATCTGATTGGTTAATCACGATGTTGTTCCAGGGTCAACAAAGATGTTGATCCAGGAACGTCGCACTTGGTAAAATCAGGTTCTGCTGGCTAGGTAGGCAGATTTGGAGCCAGTGGATCTCATAGCATGAATGGCTCTTCCATCTGATCTTCTGTATCATAAATTCTCCATAAATTCAGATCCTCCAAAACACAGAGCCTCCAAAACACACACACACACACACACACACACACACCTGTTCCACTATCCAGGAACGCAGGCGACGTGTGGAACGAATCCTTCCAGATGCCATCTGAAAAACACATTGATTTTCAGCTGCTGATTTGTCTTTAGAAAGTCAGGCGCATCATACATTGACAGTTCATGGAAGTGAGTAATTATTACAAATTCACTAATAAAAAGTACCTAAAAGTACCATGTTTTTGATGTATTTAAATGTAAAATGAATACATACTCTAATTTTGATAAATTGTTTTTTGATTAGTCAGCCAAACTAATTAAAGAACTGCTAATCAACGAAAGTGGATCATAGTTCTAATGTTTGACATTTCCAGCACCGATTCAGCAGTAACCAAACATACTGATCAGTCTAAACTTTTGATCTGGGTGTTTTTTTAATCTGGCCATGGTCCCTTTAACCTGTTCTTTTGTCTTACCTTATGAAAGTCCACAATCTCTACGTTTTCTCTGGCTGGACATCTATCAGGACTCTTTCTTTCACTCTGCCTCAGGTTCTCAACTCCATTTTCTTTTTCAGTGCACCAGTTTGAGAGACTTCTCTTATTTTTAGATCATACAGCCAGTTATTTTTGCCCATTTTGTCTCCACAAAGAAGAGAAAGTAAATGAGTAAAGTTTTTGAATTAACGGATGTATTCTGAGCACAATGAATTCAGTTATTTATTTATTTTTGTATGTGGTTCAAAGATTTTTGGGCTTATAGGAACAACGGGGTCAAGTAAGAGTTCTTTGTAAGCAAGCACTTGATAAAAACATTTCTCAATTGTAATTACGCACAGCTTATTAAATATTATTTTGACTCTAGAAGATTCTTAAATATTTTCATTTATTGTGGTAATCACCCACAATAGGAATCGCATCCTGGTGCCCCCTTGGTAGTGCCCCCTAAGTAGGCGGCGCTCTCCGTGTATTATAGGAAGCGGCGGTAACATTACTGATTTGTAAATCATTATCTACTATTGTCTATACCAAGGAACCGTCACAGTACGTTTTGTAAATCTTACAATTTAATGATCTACTTCAAACAATCTTCAAAGATCTACTAAAAACTCGTAAGAGTGAAAATCAAATAGTATTTAATAATTTCAGCGATTTCTTCTAAAATCATTCTCTCCAAATCAATGTAGCGTAATAGCTGTGTGTTTAAATAAATTCGCGCATAAAACAATATTTTTGTTTAAACGTTGTAAAAATCCTAATGTAACGTTAGTTTGTTTGTAGTTTCGATTACCTTAGTTTCGGTCCTGTGTACTGTCAGCCGTTCTGGAGATCACAGTCCGTACACAATAAACTCCTGAAAGCAAAGCAGTGGAGCGACCGAAGCTGTTCAATATATAAATACCACTTACATCTGGAGGGGGCGCTCGGCGGCTCACAGCGCCGAATTATTTTCTTTGGAAAATATAGCATATTTTTGAATTATTAAATGGTTTGTGAAATATGTAAATATATATGCACAAATCCAAGGCATTCTATACAAACATTGGCAACGTTTACAGTAAAATAATTTTAAGAAAATAAAATTGAGAAAAGTCTTAACTACCACGTGATGTTTCTACAGCCCACTCCGTGAACTACGATACTTGAGTAAAAGTACAGATACCTTACAGTGAAAATTACTCCACTACACGTTACAAGTCACCAATTCCAAAACAACTTGAGTAAAAGTCTTCGAGTATTTGATTTCAACAGTACTTAAGTATTTTACTTATACTAAATATAGGCTCAAAGATGCACTAGTCAAAGAGACATGCCAGTGAAAAACTGTAACGTTGTGGAGAAGCTGCGGAAAACAGGCAGAGGCAAGGATCTATGTGCTGGTATTTCATGGAAAAACTAGAACAAACAATAAGGCAAAAACCAAAGGGAACAAAGAACAGAATGACTGGCAAACAGACAACCATTACATTCAACAACTCACAAGGAGCCAAAGAAAAACTAGGGCTATATATACACACAGGGGGCTAACAAACTTAACAAGACACACCTGGGGAGACTAATCAAGGGTAAGGGCAAAACACAGTACTTTCAGTGCTCTGTAGTTGGCAGTATCACGTCTTTTGTAGCAGAAAAAGCTAGGTCCATGCAAAATGTAATGTGTAACTGCAACACTCATTTCAAATGTAGTGGAGTAACGAGTACAGATACTCATTCAAAAATGTAGTGAAGTAAAGAGTAAAAGTTGCTATCTTTGATACTCAGTACAACTACAAAGTACCCGAAAAGATACTCAAGTACAGTAACTAATTACATTTACTCCAATACTTTACACCTCTGGCCCTAAGTAGGCGGCGCTCTCCGTGTATTATAGGAAGCGGCGGTAACATTACTGATTTGTAAATCATTATGTACTATTGTCTATACCAAGGAACCGTCACAGTACGTTTTGTAAATCTTACAATTTAATGATCTACTTCAAACAATCGTCAAAGATCTACTAAAAACTCGTAAGAGTGAAAATCAAATAGTATTTAATAATTTCAGCGATTTCTTCTAAAATCATTCTCTCCAAATCAATGTAGCGTAATAGCTGTGTGTTTAAATAAATTCGCGCATAAAACAATATTTTTGTTTAAACGTTGTAAAAATCCTAATGTAACGTTAGTTTGTTTGTAGTTTCGATTACCTTAGTTTCGGTCCTGTGTACTGTCAGCCGTTCTGGAGATCACAGTCCGTACACAATAAACTCCTGAAAGCAAAGCAGTGGAGCGACCGAAGCTGTTCAATATATAAATACCACTTACATCTGGAGGGGGCGCTCGGCGGCTCACAGCGCCGAATTATTTTCTTTGGAAAATATAGCATATTTTTGAATTATTAAATGGTTTGTGAAATATGTAAATATATATGCACAAATCCAAGGCATTCTATACAAACATTGGCAACGTTTACAGTAAAATAATTTTAAGAAAATAAAATTGAGAAAAGTCTTAACTACCACGTGATGTTTCTACAGCCCACTCCGTGAACTACGCCACTTTCAGCTAATAATGTTTGTTATTTACTGCAACATGAGTAGGTGTTATCTGACATCTTTACTGAGCCATCATAACATAGCAAATACAATAACGATAAACGGGACGATAAACCCCTCCCACGTTGGTAAATTCATCCAGCCAATTTCCCTTCTGCCAGTTTCAACCATTTCAACAAAAGAGCTGCTTCCCAGAAATCACGTGATATCACGCAGCTCTCATTTAAGCCTCCAGAAGGCAAAAAACCCTGATAGACTGTAGAAATGTGTTCATACTGTGTTAAATGTGATGCATTGTCCACAGTATGTAGTAGAAAAAAAAGTAAAAATACAAGTTAAAACGAGAATGTAAAGTCTCAACTGAAACACTATTTTTATAGCCTACTTGTTGATACAGTTTTGATATTTTTGAACCTATAGTATTTTGACAATAATAGTGTCATCATAGTACACACACACACACACACACACACACACACACACACACACACACACACACACATGTGTGTGTGTGTGTGTGTGTGTGTGTGTGTGTGTGTGTGTGTGTGTGTGTGTGTGTGTGTGTGTGTGT